GGTATTTTATAAGCCAGATCTAGAGGACAAAACATTAGTAGTAGCTATTTATAGGAAGGAGTCCCTAAGTGGTATAAGCAGTTGATGTGGATGCTAACCAAAAAGTTAGTGGTTCAAGTCTACTCAAAGGTGCCTTGGAAGAAAAATCCTGGCTATCTACTTCTGAAAAATTAGCTATTGAAATCCCTGTGGAGCGTAATTCTGCTCTGACACATGAGGGGTTGTAATGTGTCTGTTTTATTTTATGGCAACTGGTATGTGTAGGCGAATATTTTGAAAAAAAAAAATTGAAAGTGATCAAGGCCAAGATGAACCATGACCTCTTTGGTTGTGAGGTATCTAAGTAGGGAACATGGAAGACTTTTAGGGTTATTCTAGGGAGCCATGACATAGTCTGTTCAGAGTATAGAAAGGAACATGGGTAATCAAGAAAGTGGAAGTGAGGACACCATCTGAGTGTGGCAAAAGATAAAGCAACCTAAATTCTCACATGACTGGATTATTCCTCCTCAGTGATGGAGAGGTAGGTAGTTCTATATAACTAAACTCAGTACTTTATATAGCATGTGTTGTTGTTGTTATGTGCCATCGAGTCGGACCCGACTCATAGTGACCCCTCCATGGGTTCCCGAGGCAGTATCACTATGGAAGTAGATTGCCTAACCTTCCTTCCAAGGAGTGGCTGGTGGGTTTGAACTGCCAGCCTTCTGGTTAGCAGTCAGGTGCCTTAGGCACTATGCTACCAGAGCTCCCTATATAGCATGTAGATAACTACATATTTCTGTTTGGGGAAAAATGTGATTTAAATATTATTTGGAGGTAAGTTAAGCTGACTTGGATTTTTTTAAAAAAATTGTATGATGTAAGAGAATCCAGTCCCTAATAGCTTTTATTGCCTATCAGAGTCATGTAATCATCAGGCATCCCTCATCCCTGCCCTCATCCAATAACACAGTGTACTGAGAAAACAGAGGTCCCACCAGTTTTCAGACTTGCCTCTTAGAGTAGCCCTGCAACCACAGTCCTGTGACATCTAAGTTCTCAGGCTCCACTGACCCAGTTGGTAGAAGAAATTGGGTATCCTTCCACCTCTAGCCCCACAGTGGTGATGATACTTATTCTCTGTGAGAGAGCTTCAAGAGAGAGCCCTAGGGATGTGGTGGGGAAGCTTGCTCAGGACAAATTTACAAGAACAGAAAAGGAGAACCTTAAAAATACATTTTGGAATTAAGTAACCAATTTTATATAGCCTTGTAGGAGCTCTTGTGGCACAGTGGTTGTTAAGGCATTCTGCTGCCAAACAAAAGGTTGGCAATTTAAACCCACCAGCTGCTTCCCAGGAGAAAGATGAGGCAGTCTGGTTCCGTAGAGATTTACAGCCTTGGAAACCCTATGGGGCACATCTACTCTGTCCTATAGAATCACTATGATCAGAATCGACTTGATGGCAGTGGGTTTTGGTATAGGTGAATTCAATCTAGTTCCAGTGTGCATTATCTACTCTCTTGTATACTGTATGTACAATATATTGTATATGTATATTGTTGTTGTTATGTGCCATTAAGTCGGACCTGACTCATAGCGACCCCTCCTTGGGTTTCCGAGGCAGTATCACTACGGAAGTAGATTGCCCCATCTTCTTTCTGAGGAGTGTCTGGTGGGTTTGAACTGCCAGCCTTCTGGTTAGCAGTCAAGTGCCCTAGGAATTATGCTACCAGAGCTCCTATATATGTATATACACATTTTTTTTTTCCTGTTGGAAATATTATTAGTACATGAGTCTGAAGTGGGAGTTTTAATGAAGCAAAAACCTTCACCTGGAAATGGGTCTTTTTTTCCTCTCCAAAAAGAAAATGGGGGTTTCTGAGAAGGTTGGAATTTCTCTGCTGTTATCTTTTACTGTGGTGTGGGATGATCAAATTTCACATTTCCAGGTTGCTAGGAGACAGGCACCTATCTTTTAGATACTGGCATATAAGGCCTCTTTATTCTGTGGTCTTCTGTATTTCTTAGAATTGTCTTACTTCCTTTCTGAAACCTAAATTATGCAGAGGTAACACAGTTTTCTTTGACCAAGCTCAGGAGATATAAAATGGGTCAGAAACATCAAGCTATGTTTATATAAAGGACATTAATGGCAAAAGTAGATTAAGGCAACATTCTTGAAAAGTTTGTATTTACCTCTGTTCTTGCTGCTATTTTGTTACTTTCTGTGAGCTTCTTGGGGTACAGGATTATTTAGGTGCAAGGAGGCTTTGAACACGGTCTAGAGCTTCAGATAGTGTTAAAACCAGCATTTCAAGTAAACCATGGCCCCAGGAGCTCTAAATAATTCATTGACTTGATATGCCAGGAAAATTTGGTTTTACCCTAATTATGTCATCCAAACACCATTGTTTAAAATAAAAATTCATCTACAGATTACCATACAGTTTTTTTGTGAGTGCCTAAGTTTAAAATTAGATTACCAGCGTTCTCAAAAATGTGCCCAAGTGGTATATTGATGAGAATTTGGCACGAAAATGCATGAATTTGAAATTGAAGCTAGCTTTTTACATATAACAGTACACCATGAGACCTCTCTCTTTATGTCTTCATTTTCATTGTTAATGGTTGCTTACTAGTCCTTTATAAGAGGTACTGTAATTTTTTTAAGAAGCCTCCTTTGAAGGGGGGATCTATGTAGGAGACCCTGGATAGAGTGGGAGAACAATGTGGAACAAAATTCAAAATAAAAAAAAATAAAAGGGACCAGGTTTGCTGGTCTGGTAGAGCCTGGTAGAACTCCTGAGACCTTGGCCCCTCGCTGCACTGTTAATCAGAAAAGTTTTGTTGGTGTCTGGTATTGAATAACATAGGCATTGGAGATTGAGATGGTTGGTTAAAATTTAACAGGTCAGGTAGCTGTATGTTAGGGCACCTCTAGCTCCCTCTGTCGTTTTTTCTTTCTCAGTTCAAAATAGAGTTCTTTGAAGTATTAAGATTTAGGATGTATCTTTGGAAGCGGATCACCGGGTCTGTCTTTGTAGCTCATCTTAGTCTGCAGACTGTTGAAATCTGTTCAGCACCATAGGTGCTGATTTTATTAGGGAAAATCAGCCAGTGAAAACCTGTGGATCGTAAAAGTTGGACCTGAGAAGCGGTCATGGGCATGGCACAGGACTGTGTAGCATTTTGTTCTGTAGCACACCGGCTCGCCATGAGTCAGGCTCACTTGACCAGCTAACAACAACATTTTACAGGTGGCTTAGTTGACACTGCATCATGACACTAGTGAAATTGACCAGACCCCCAAAGCAGGCACATCAGTGAATATTCTGTTATTATTTTACTTACTCTCTATCTTACATAACTCATCTTGTCAATGAATTTAGTCTATTGACACAATGGGAAATTAAATAGAATATCTTCTGCCTTTTGCCTTGGTGTGCAGGATGCATCAACAGCAGCTCTACTGGAGCCATGTGTGAAAATTCAGACAGGGTTCCTGCTCTTGCCATGTGTTCTCAAACTGGCACAGTCTGATCTAGAAATACGGCATCAATGTGTGCTGCCAGTGTTTCTTTCAGTACAAGAAAGATATAGGCTCCATCACATTGGACTAAGTGACCTTCCTTGAATGGATTATCCAAGACATCTACCCAACAAAAGAAACTGTGCTAACTCTTTGTACATAAAATTAAAAATCTTCAATTTAAAGAAAAAAGTTTACTCACATGTCTTTTGTGAAGATAACTTGCGTAGACTATCCAGCCTATACATGGCAAGAAGACATGCTTTCAGTGTGTTGTTTGAAATAACTGAAGATTTGCCCAGCAAGAAAGTTTCTGAGATAGTGAAAAGGGAGATGCATTGGCAGAAGTTACAAGTAGAATTAGTTAGAATTTTATGTCTTCATAAATGCTCAGTTATTTGAGATTTAATGTCTATGCCTAAATTGAATGTAGTGGTAAACCTTGACTTTCTTATGCTTGTCTTTGTCTTGGCAGGTTATTTTCCTAATTTTAAAAATTATGTAAATGATAAATGGTTATTACAGAAAATAAGGACAGATGTATATAAACAACAAAGAAGAGCTTCTTTATAATCCCATCACCTAGAGATAAATCTTGTTAATTTCAGATATCATGTCTTTTTGTGTCATATATCTGTCTTTTTCAAAACAAAAATAAACATGTCGTTTGTACTATTTGCTAACTAGCTTTTTACATATAAGAGTACCCCATGAGACCTATCTCTCTATGTCTTCATTTTCATTGTTAATGGTTCTAGTCCTTTATAACAGGTACTGTAATTTTTTTAAGAAGGCTCCTTTGAAGGGGGATCTATGTCGGAGATCCTGGATAGAGTGGGAGAACAATGTGGAACAAAATTCAAAATCATAAAAAAAAAGTAAAAGGGACCAGGTTTGCTGGTCTGGTGGAACCCCTGAGACTATGGCCCCCAGCTGCCCTTCAGGTCTGGAATTGAACCCACTCCTGTGGCATCCAGCCAAACAAAGATAGGCATATGAGCTGAACATTTACATTAGGTAGATATATTCCTTGGAGACATCATGGGAGAATAGAAGGGCTATAATATGCACAGGGAGACAGCTCAGGAGGCAGGAGTTCATGGGAGGGAAGGACTCTAAAAGGACACAGGGAGGAGGTAACTATGGGGAGGAAGTGGGGGGGGCTGTTGCATTGTGGGAAATTGCAGTCAGTGTTGTGAGACAAAGTGTATGTGAGCTGCTTTTGGAAGATGAATTTACTCTAAACTTTCACCCAAATCACAATTAAAGTTAAAAAAACAACACAAAAACCTCCTTTGATTAGAATTTAGGTTTCTTATTTTTGCTACAATAGCATTTATACCTATTTTTCCCCCTTTGTCTATTTCCTTAGGATAAATTCCTAGTAGCAGAATACTCTGCTAAAGGGTTTTGCCACATTTTTAAAGTGTTTGAAACACATTGCCAAATAGCTTCCTACTTGCACTAAACGGAAATTTTTATTTAGTTACAGAATGAGGAAGAGCCTGGAGAACCTGAACAGGCTGGAAGTGATGCTCCACCACCTTATAGCAGCATCTCTGCAGAGAGTGCAGGTAAGTAATGGGGAGAAATGATTACTAAGCTCCTTATATGCTCTGTCCGTAGACTTTTTAAATACAGGTTTTTTGATGTTTGCCTTTGCTTTAACTTTCCTTGAGAAGTTTTCAGCCTTATTTTTACTTTGTAGATTGAGATGGAAAAACTCATGGTACTGTTCTTAGAAACAGATGAAACCCCATTTCAGCAGTTTAAAAAAAAAAAAATTAATAGAGCTCAATTTAATCCCAATGGATTCTTTTTTTTTTAAAATGTGGTAAATATATAGGCAGCAAAACATTTGCCATTTCAACAATCATCACATGTACAGTTTAAGCCTGAAAAATCAAACCTGTTGCTAGTAAGTTGATTCTTTCAGTGACCCTGCAGGACAGAGTCAAATTACCCACAGGGTTTCCAGGGCTGTCATCTTTGTGGAAGCCAACTGACACATCTTTCTCCCACTGAGGGGTGGTTTCTAACAGCCAACCTTTTGGTTAGCAGCTGAGTGTTTAAGCACTACACTGCCAGGATTCCTTTATGTACCAAACTAAACCCATTGCTACCAAGTCGATTCCATCTCATAGCAACTCTGTAGGACAGAGTAGGACTGCCCCATAGGGTTTCCAAGGCTGTAAGTCTTTGCAGAAGCAGAGTGCCTCATCTTTTTATTTTAGAGCAACTATTGGGTTTGAACTGCTGACCTTTTGGTTAGCAGCTGAATGCCTTAACTACTGCACCACCCGAGCTCCTTCATTTATGTGATAAATAAGTAAAATTAAAAAGTGATGATAACTATGTTCATCATGTTGTTCAACCATCACCATTAACTATTCCCAAGTTTTCCATCATCTTTAATATAAGTTTATTGTACCCTAAGCCAGTGGGCTCTTTTTTCTTTTATATATGTATATAATTTTATTTATCTTGTTGTTGAGAATGTACACAGCAAAACATCCACCAATTCCATAGTATCTTCATGTACCACCTAATGACATTGATTACAGTTTTCAAGTTGTATACCCATTCTCACCTTCCTTTTCTGAGTTGTTCCTCCCCCATTAACATTAATTCACCGCCCCCTAAAGTTCCTATCTAATCTTTTGAGTTACTCTTGTCAGTTTATCCCATATAGGTAGTTCTTAAAAGAGCATAATGCTCAAGGCAGCCATTTTTTAGTAGTTAAGGTAAACTATGGTTTGGTTTTAAAAAGACATCAGGGAATATTTTTGGTCTAAGGTTTAAAGATGAGCTCAGAGCGTTTCAGGTATTTATCCAACCTTCATGGCTACAGAAAGTCTGGAGTCAGTGGGAATTTGAAATTCTGTTTTGCATTTTTCCTCTTTTGATCAGGATTCTTCTATGGAATCTGAACAAAATATTCAGTAATAGTAGCTGGGAACCATCCAGTTCTGGTCTCATGGCAAAGGAGATAGTTCACGGAAGCAGTTAGCTGCACATTCCATCACAACTGGTCAGCTTTCAGGAATTGTAGCAGAACTCTGTCAGGAACTCTAGTTACCCGAAATCCTTAACTACATTTGTTTCTTCTCCCTCTATTCCTCCTACACATACACCTGAAAACCAAAGAGGTGTTCAGGTATAAGAGGGAAAACTACAGGTTAGTAAATAATGGTCCAGTGTAACTTAAGCAATGAGGAATAGTCTGAACAAGTTAGGAGACTTCTGGTTCTTGCTTTCATCAAGAATTTACTAGTGTAAGATACATCAATCATACTACAGTCTAGGCCACAGGCACTAGAGTCACAAAGAACAAAATACCTAATGAGGAAACAAGAAAAGGAACAAAAGGCAAGAGATCATATTTGAATTCTACTTCCTTTATAGTAAGAGTCCACTGGCTGGCTTTGATAAAATCCAGTACCTTTTCTTGATGAAACCCTAAATAGAATAGTAGGGAAATTGCTCAATATGATCTAATTTTCTCAGCACCTTTCCTGAAGTGACTCTTCTTTCCCCATCAAATAGACTTAGCACCCTTGTCAAAAATCTGTTGACCAGAGATAATGTGAGTTTACTTTTGGACCCTCAATTCTATTCCATTGTGTCTATTGTTATACCATTGCCAGGCAGTTTTAATTACTGTGGCTGTATAAAAGGAGCTCTGGTGGTGTAGTGTGTAAGACATTTATTTGGCTGCTAAACAGAAGGTAAGTGATTCAAACCCAGCAGTTGCTATGTGGGAGTTAAATGAGACACACTACTTCCATAAATATTCACAGCCTTGGAAAACCAATAGGGCTTACTATGAGTTCAAATTGACTTAATGGCAGTGGGTTAGGTTTTTTGGATGGGTGCATAAAGCCAAAAACCAAGCCCACTGCCACTGAGTCAATTCCAACTCACAACAATCCCCATAGGGTTTCCAAGGCTGTAAATCTTTACAGAAGCGGACTACCTCATCTTTCTTCCACAGAGCAGCAGCTAGGTTTGAACTGCTGACCTTTTTGGTTAGCAGCCTAATGACTTAAGTGCCACCAGAACCCCTGGCTGTATAGTATGTTTTAAAATCAGGAAGTATGAGTCCTCCTACTTTGTTTTCCTCTTTCAGCATTGCTTTAGCTATTCAGGGCCTCTTAGCATTCCATATAAAGCAGAGGATTGATTTTTCTATTTCCATAGTGAAAGCTATTGGAATTTTGATTGACACTGCATTGAATCTATAGAGCACTTTGGGCAGTATTGACATGTTAACAAGATTAAGTCTTCCAATCCATGAACATGAAACATCTTTCCAGTTATTTATGTTATATCTTTAATCTCTTTTCAGCAGTCTTTTATAGTTTTCATAAGTCCTTCACATCCCTGATTGGCTCTGTCCCAGTGTGTTTTATTTTCTTAGATGCTATTATAAATGGAATTGTTTCCTTGATTCTCTTTCAGGTTTTTTCATTGCTGGTGTTTGAAAGCCACCTGCTTTTTGTTTGTTAACCTCGTACCCTGCAAGTTTGCTAAATTCCTCTATTAGCCCTATAAGTTTTCTTGTGGACTCTGGGATTTTGTATATATATGATCATATCAACTATGAATAGAAATAATTTTATTTATTTTTTTCTTTTATTTCTTTTCCTTGTCTTATCACTCTGGGTAGGACTTCTGATATGTACTGAATAGAATTGGTGAGAGCAGGCACCAGTTTCTTGTTCCTGTTTTCAAAGGGAATGTGCTCAGTCTTTTTCTCCATTAAGTATAATGTTGGCTATTGACTTTTAACATATGTCCTGGATCATATTGAGCAATTTCCCTTCTATTCCAGTCTTCTTTAGGGTTTCATCAAGAAAAGGTACTGGATTTTATCAAAGCCAGCCAGTGGACTCTTACTATAAAGGAAGTAGAATTCAAATACGATCTCTTGCCTTTTGTTCCTTTTCTTGTTTCCTCATTAGGTATTTTGTTCTTTGTGACTCTAGTGCCTGTGGCCTAGACTGTAGTATGATTGATGTATCTTACACTAGTAAATTCTTGATGAAAGCAAGAACCAGAAGTCTCCTAACTTGTTCAGACTATTCCTCATTGCTTAAGTTACACTGGACCATTATTTACTAACCTGTAGTTTTCCCTCTTATACCTGAACACCTCTTTGGTTTTCAGGTATATATGTAGGAGGGGTGGAGGGAGAAGAAACAAATGTAGTTAAGGATTTTTGGTAACTAGAGCTCCTGACAGAGTTCTACTGTAATTCCTGAAAGTTGACCAGTTGTGATGGAACCTCTTTCATATTCTCTAAAACAGAGGTATGACAAAGTGGTCCATACATGGCCACCACTGGACCCAATTAATATGCAAGTTGAAGACTACATTCATTCCTGTTGGGCCCAAACATGCACTTTAGGCAGCTGTTTTCAGTTGATATGAAGTTAAATCTATCGGTAATCTCTGTGGTCCTGGGACTGCCATTATAATTAGGTGGAATACAGGCCACACAGATCCCCAGCTCCACTGGCTTCAACTTCTGAATGCTGCCTCTTTGTCTTAGTGAATATTCTTTTATTTGTAAGCATCTGGAGCTAACTGTTAACCTGAGGTTTTGGTAGAATTCTGAGGGGTCTTACGAAGTCACATGAAGAGTAGAATATCAAGACTTGGGGAAAAATCAGAATATCAAGCTTATTCACTCCTTTCTGCCCCGACTGTACATACAGTGTTGCATCAGATGTGCCCAATGAGAACTGATTAGTAAGAAAGGATCCATGTTTCATTAATGATAAAAGTCCTTCACACTTAGCTACTCAGAATTGTTGGAAGCTAAGTTTTTCCTAAAAAATCTCAGTTTCTACTTTCTTTTATTTATTTATTTTTTGTTGTTGGTTTTGAGACTATCACAGCAGAATATACATCAATTCAACAATTTCTACATGTACAATTCAGTGATACTGATTATGTTCTTCCAGTTTCTACATTCTTTAATTTAATGGTAAAATTTTTTTAACCATTTTAGATGGAAATCTTTCTCAAGCATATCTCAAAGTACTTTTCTGCCTTGTTCTCTTTATCTCATATTATTTGTTTAAATTTTTCTGTATGACTTGGGAATTATAATCAAACATCACTGGTAGGTATTCTGTTCTATAGTACAGTGATACCTTTATTCACTGAGGTTTGTAGAACTTTTTGATTCAAGAATAACCACAAAATAAACTGTGGTCAGTGACATGAGACAAAGTATGTGTGAACTGCTGTATAGAAAGTGAATTTGCTCTGTAAATCTTCACCCAAATCACAATTAAAAAAAAAAAAAAGAATAACCACAAAAAAATCCCAAACTCACCGTCATCAAATTGATTCTGACTCATAGAGACTCCCTTTGGGTTTCTGAGGTAGTAAATCTTTATGGAAGTAGATTGCCCCATTTTCCTTCCACAAAGCAGGTGGTGAGTTTGAACTACCAACTTTCTGGTTAGCAGTCAAGTGCCTTAGGCACCACTCCACCAGAGCTCCTTTTTGATTCAAGAATAGGTCCCCTGTATTCTTCCCTTGCTGTCAAATGGAGTCTCAT